CGGGGCCTCCAAGTCTTGATGTATTCACCTGAAATGAGGCAGGAAAGGAGGGAGAGAGATCAGGACAAGGTTAAACAGAGTTGGGGGCAGGCAGTAAGCAGATAGCCCGGAGCAATAGTGACTCACGAGGGACACCACAGTGGGAGAGAGTGGATGAGAGCACAGAAGAGCCCTTGTAGTGTTCCCTGTTGACGCAGGCTGGGGCACTAGGCTGGACCCGAGTGATCCACAGGTCATGCTTGGCAGGATGGTGCCTACAGTAATGCCCTGTGGCACCAGCTGCCTCAGCATGTGGCCAGCAGCAAGCCATCCTTGCCAGTGTGTGGCCAAGTCCCAGGAGAGGCCCAGGCTTCTAAATACACATGCCCTGTGGCCTTGTAAGGCCAAATCCCAAGGGCTAGCAATCACCAATACAGCCATGCAAGAGGATCAAGTATCAAAAACAGTTCTGCACTAGGCAGAATATAGCTGTTGCCACAACCTCCAAGTACCCACCAACCTCTATCATTTGTTCTGACCATGAATATCCAATCACTCTGCATACGCATACACACACACACACACACACACACACAAGGACACACTCCTCATCCTCAAAGAGCTGTCTCAGACTGCAACAAGATGATGAAAGCTGTCCCATAGCCTAATAAAAGGAGCCAGACCCACGCAGCCAAACATGGTTCAAATCACAGCCCCAGAGACCTGAAAACATACCAAGCACATGTGTATGCATGCCTAGAATCCTGACAAGATAGGGAAACTGTGAAGGGAATGCTGTGCGACCACACTCAATTACAGAGAGCTTTCTCCCTCTCCATCTCTGTTTCTGTCTCTCCCTGTTACACGTACGTTTACTGGCAATTAAACAAACAAAAACAAGATGACAAAAGTTATGTCCACACAAAAACCTGTACACAAATGCCTGCAGCAGCAGTATACATAATAGCCAAACAGTGGAAACAACCCAATCACCCACCAACTAATGAATGGACACATAAAACAGTATGTCCTACAATGAAATATTGCTTGGTCATAAAAAGAAATGGGATACTGATACACATGCTACGACCTAGAGGAGTCACAGCTTACATTGAGCAAATTATGTCAGGCAAAAGAACCACAAATGATATGATTAAATTTGCATAAAAAGTCCCAAATAGCAAACTGACTGAGATAAAAAGTAGATTAATGGTTCCCTAGGGCTCAGGAGGGGGTAGAATCTGGGAGGAAATTAGAAGAAGATGGTCAAGGGACCAGCACTTAGCATAATGGCTATGTCGCTGGACTCCCACGTAGTCGACCGCAGTTCGAGTCCCAGACCCCATGGCTTAAACTCACACCGGGCATGTGTGCGTGCGGGCCCAAGATCCCAAGAGGAGAATGGAGGAGAAGGGATTGTGGCATGGCCATCCACCCTTGGGGGTGATTTCTCGCTTTCTGTCTCTCTGTCTCTGTCTGTCTGGCGAGCGCACGCGCCCTATAGCAAAAACCTCTTC